AGGGGAGGCTTGGAGCTGGCTGTATTTGATGTTTTGATCCAACTGTAAAGACGGCTAAGAAGACAAGCATTCATTGCCTGGCCGTCTCACCGATTAGTTAGCTGTTAACTTTGCATACGATTGGTTTGCAGATCAATCAGTGTTCTTCCAGAGTTATTATGGCTAGCAAGGTTAGTTCTTAGGCTTGTCGGTGATCACATTCAGATGCAAAATCTGATTAGAAATGGACAGTTATGAACTAGTATGATACTCCACTACATAAATTGTGACAAAAGAAGAGCTATTTGCATCACAATGCAGTGCAGTAGAATGGTGCCAGACAGACAGACAGGACATGACATATAGCTTAATTGTGCGTTAATCTTGTGATAATTATATTTACTGATGATCTGTTAATTTCGACATTAATCGCAGGGACACCTCTGTCTGCCATGGACGGGATACTGGTCGCTGTCAAGGACGAGATCGACTGTTTGCCCTACCCAACCACAGGTGAGTAATTAACTAATTAATCACAGTAATTAACTACAATAGCGTGACATGGACAATAAACTTATGCATCCTGCATGCAAAAACCTAAAGTGTTATGCAGATATTTGACAACTACTGGTAAAGATTTATAAATAGATTTCAATAATATTTGTCTTTGTTTAGTGTCGGTGGTCATTACTTTGTGTATAGTTATTTTCTGAATTTTTCATGCTCTTTGTTGAACGGATTTTGTAATAATTGGCTATAGCTTTCTTGAAGCAAGGGTGAAATTCATTCCATTATTAAAAAACAATTAGTACTAATTACTACTTCCGTTTCAAACTTCTTAAGTTTTGACAAAAGAATATAGCAATATTTTTGAACTAAAGAAAACTATTAGAATATATTTAATGTTAAATTTAATAAAATTAATTTGATGCTATAAATGTTACTTCGTACTATATATTTTTACAAATTCTTTCAAAAAGTTTAACTTTTTAAAAAATAAAAGCAAACTTATAATATGAACAAAGAGAGCGAGTAATATATATGCTCTGATTAAACTGGACGGTGAGATGAAGATCGGACGGTGATGCAGGCGGGACGCGGTGGCTGGGGCGGGCGCGGGCGTGCGCGGCGGACGCGGCGGTGGTGGCGCAGCTGCGCGCGTGCGGCGCGGTGCTCGCCGGCAAGACCAACATGCACGAGCTCGGCGCGGGGACCAGCGGCATCAACCCGCACCACGGCTCCACCAGGAACCCCCACAACCCCGGCCGCGTCTCCGGCGGCTCGTCCAGCGGCTCCGCCGCCGCCGTCTGCGCCGGCCTCTGCCCCGTCGCCCTCGGCGTCGACGGCGGAGGTAAACAAACCGTCGTACTCCCACGCTCGGTCTCGATCTCTTCGATGACTTGCACATGCGCTGACCGCCGCCGCCGCCGCCGCCGCGGTTTTGCAGGGTCCGTGCGAATGCCGGCGGCGCTGTGCGGCGTGGTCGGGTTCAAGCCGACGGCGGGGCGGCTGTCGAACGCCGGAGTTCTGCCGCTGAACTGGACGGTCGGGATGCCCGGGATCCTCGCTGGGACGGTCGAGGACGCCGCCGTCGCGTCAGTGACACACTACACCTCTTAATTAATTACTGTCTCTCCGTTTTTTAATATATGACGCGATTTTTGCGATATGTTTTAACATTTATTTTATTAAAAAAAATATATAATTATCTATTATTTTACTGTACCTTAATTTATCATTAAATGTTTTTTAATCATGACTTAAATTATTTTATACTTGCACAAAAATTTTGAATAAAAATGAATGGACAAATGTTTGTAAAAAGTCAACGGCGTCATATATTTAAAAAAAAACATGATGTAGTATTTTTTTTCACAAATCCATCTTTAATTATTGCGATTAACTAGTTGTACATGTGCTGATTGATGTACATTGTACTACATTGCGTGCTCTCAAAGGAGTTGAGTTGAAATGTTGTGGTGTTTTTGGTTCTTTGATTCCAGATACTCAGCAATTGTTGATCAGTCTCAGCCATCCTACTTGCGGGTAATTGACCTTGCTAATTACAGTTTTGGTGAGTACTGATTAATCTATACAGAATTGCTGACTTAGTTGGTTCCTTTGATTCTACAGCCTGAGTTGAATCTGCCCTTGCTGAAGTCTTCACTCTCCATCAAGAACATCAAGCTTGCAAAATATGCAAAGGTCAGTGAGATTATTGCACGAGTGAAGTGGGCAAATAAATTTGGTACGAATTAACTCTGAACATTGTGGTAATTGTGCGATGGAAACAGTGGTTCAATGACAGTTCAGAGGACATCAGAAGCTGCTGCGACAAATCTCTTCAGATGCTGCATGCGCACTATGGTTGGGAGGTAAGGAAGATTACTGTGGCCAAAAGTACTAATTGAATTGGCATTTAGAAATTTAGTACTAGCAATTTTGTCAAGAATTCTATGATAGCTCAATTGGTTTGGCAGAAGAAGAACTCATTAATTTGTTCTTGTGATTCTTTTTTTCTCGCTGCAAGACTCTGGATGTAACCATACCGGAGATCGAAGAGATGCGCCTTGCGCACTATGTGACAATTGGTTCAGAATGCACTGCATCACTTGCTAAATATCTTGACAAGCTGTGAGTTATCAGAATAATGTTATTTGTATGGCTTTGATGCAATAAACCTGTGGATGATCTGACCATAACTTGTGTGAATTATGTCAGGAAGAGATCTGAAATCGGTTGGGATGTAAGGGTCGCACTTGGCGTGTATGGTTCCTTCAGCAGTAGAGCCTACCTGAATTCGCAACGGCTCCGGTGAGTTCACATTTGTCAGATGAAGCTATCATCAGAACAGAATACCTTGTAAACATGACAATTTAGTGATCCAGTGTTTATATTAGTACTGAACTGCTAGCCTATCCATGTTTGCAGGAATCGTCAGATGTACTTCCACAAGGAGATATTCAAGACGGCAGACGTGATCGTCTCACCAATGACCGGGTATTTTCATCTTTCTCCTCTACCCATTCTGTTCAGATAACCTCACATGAATCACTTGGCATGAAACATTTCTCACTCATCAAATCTGGAAAGCAATTTTGGCACTCGCGACATTGTCATGATAAGCTACAGTGACCGTTTCTGAATTCAGAAAAGCATTATGCCATAATATGCATGATTCAAAACTCTGTGTACTTTTTTGTTTTCACTAGAGTGTGTTCATCCTACCTTATTTAAATCTTTCTGCAGTGTGACTGCCTACAAGCTGCAAGACGACGCGCTAAAAAGCGGAGAACTGGACTACATAAATGGAGGTAATGAACCAAACTTTCAGGAGAAAAATACTCAATAATTTCACACCTAGTACAATTTATCCTAACCGTGTTCCCCATGCATTTTGGATCAAAGCCGCGTTGGTCCGGTACTCAATTGCAGGAAACTTCCTTGGTTTGCCGGCCATCACCGTCATGGTAGCAAATAACTGAACTTGTTTTACAGCTTCTATCAGCATGAACAAACCTACATATCTGAATCTACAACGTTGTGATCAATCTGTCAGGTTGGGTATGACAAAGCCGGGCTGCCCATCGGCCTCCAGTTCATCGGCAGGCCGTGGTCCGAGGCGACTCTGCTCCACATAGCATTTGCAATGCAGGCAAGTGAAAATTAACAGCCTTTTTCCTTTCAAGCTGAAATTAGTATTTGCATTTGTTTTGAACAGACACCTGAAAAATGTGAGTTGTGTTTATCATTACTCTGGAATTTGGTATTTTTGCAGGAGGCGTGCAAGAAGCACTACAAGAAGCCTGAAGTGTTCTACGATCTCCTCAAGAAAGATTAAATCCGTAGGCTGTATGTATGTCAGAATTCAGAAAATTCAGATCATTGCTTCGATCAAGTCTCCAACATTGAAGAGAATCCATTTTAAGTTAGCACGGAAGCTGTTCTTCCATTTGTGTCAGGGAGAACAATGTAGCTACATGACCAGAAGGACGAGAGCAAAATTAGATCAATTGCAGAAACTGTTTGATTAGCGGAACAAAAATTAAGTGAAAATGTATGCATTATATGACAAATAGTTTCTGTATGATGGTGCCAAAAAAAAGGGCAAAAATATATATGTGTGAAATTTTAGTAGCATTTCTGCTGCATCAGCTGCATGTGGGGCCTCTGCCATGTGGGTCCCATGGACCCAATCGGATTGTCAGCGCGGTGGCCGCGCATACACGTGGGCGCAGGGGGCAAACCACGGACGTGGCGACGAGTAACCCCAATAAATCATTTTGTGAGTTGACGATACTGCCCCTGATGCCCAGGCACCAGCAAATACGTCTCTTTCAGAGGGGCAAAATTGTCTACAGATATATGGTCCATCTTATAACATCTGAAACCAATTGCTATCTTAAATTGAGAAGGAAGGTAATAATATGTTGGTGCAACTTGAAAGCAACATTATTATAAACTTATAACTGAACCTAGTAGAACTTCATTTAGATTTAGATTTATAAATAACACAAGGCCAAAAGACAACAACTTTTGACATATGCACTAAGTATGCATTTTTTAAAAAAAAATGCAACAATTTGCACGTCAAATATGGGAAATGAACTATAGATACCCTACAAAACAGTTAAAATTCAAAATTAGTCCAACAATTGAGGTTAACATTCTATCTCATATGTACCATTATAAAAATTTTCTTGCACCAACGTAAAATCGGTAAAGTTGGATCGTTGAAAGAATAACGAGCAACTTATTTTTGTTAAAAATAAAAAAACACGTTTTTAATTACTGTTGTACATAGCATAAGTGAGGTCTTACTATTTTAAACTCATGCACATTGAAAATGGAAGATGGCCTAACAAAGGATTTTATTATCTCGAACTAGTAGTAGCTAGCCAAAAAGAACTTTTTATCTCTTTGTGACATGGGGCAAAAAAAAAAGAAAAAGAAAAAAGACAGTGATGCCCTTACTAACCCAAGACAAACCACCAGCCTTGCCTCTACCTGCCTCACGAGGGCAAAACCGTCCAAACCCAGCCACGCCGCCGCGTGCGCCTCTCGTTTTTCCTCTTCTCCCACCTCCGTCTTCCTCCTCCTCAATCCCCAAATCGAAGCACTCCTCTCCTCTCCTCTCCTCAGATCGGATCGCGAGAGCCCCAATCCCACCACCGATCGATCCATTCCTGCTGCTCGCGGCCACCGGAGAAGGAGAGAGAGAGAGAGCTCGACCTCGTCGGCGGGTGAAGGATCGCAGCAGCAGCAGCGGCGGTAGAGCAGGAGGAGAGGCGAAGATGTCGTCGGTGTTCAGCGGCGATGAGACCGCCCCCTTCTTCGGCTTCCTCGGCGCCGCCTCCGCCCTCGTCTTCTCATGTACTCTCTCCCTCCCTCCTCGATCCGCCGTGATCCACGCGCTTTGATCCCGATCCCGATCCGATCTGTGAAGCGATCGGATCCGCGATGCGGTTTCTGACGAGATCGAGATCTCGCTTATGGGTGTGGTTTTTGCAGGCATGGGGGCGGCGTACGGGACGGCGAAGAGCGGCGTCGGGGTGGCGTCGATGGGGGTGATGCGCCCGGAGCTCGTGATGAAGTCCATCGTGCCCGTGGTCATGGCTGGTGTGCTGGGTATCTACGGCCTCATCATCGCAGTCATCATCAGCACGGGGATCAACCCCAAGGCCAAGCCCTACTACCTCTTCGACGGCTACGCGCACCTCTCATCTGGCCTCGCCTGTGGTCTCGCCGGTCTCGCTGCCGGAATGGCCATTGGCATCGTTGGTGACGCCGGAGTCAGGTATAAGGCACTTTGCTATCATACACGCTGATTTATTATTTGTGATTATCATTAACTTTGTTTTGCTAGTTGTTAGTATAGTTAATTTGCCTATTGTCAATCTATCTGCATGTGATTAGATCAGGAGATGAAAAGTGCACCAAACTATTAGTGAAGTATTACATTTGCAAGTGTATACTTGTTTATGTGAATATGCGAAAACAATCTTTTAGGCCGTCAAGTACCTAATTGTATATGTTTTAGATTTTATCATTTTAGCGAACACGTCGTATATGACAAACTATGCATTTTATTTTAGGGAACACGTTGTATATGACAAACTATGCATTTCTGGGAGCTTCTGTCTTATGCTTTGCCTATTACATTGATATATCAAATTCACACTTTTGTGTGTTAAAAAGTGTGTGTTAACTAGCAGACTTTCTGCTATCACTGTCAAATGCTAAGCTTGAATGTGTGTTTAATCATGGCTTCAATCTATTAAATTGCACAGGCTTTACTGTGCTATAGCTGTTTTAGGACCATGCTGTCAAACTGTGGATTAAATCCCTTCGGTGTTAACATCTTCACAGGGCTGATGACATTGACACCATGGATCATTCTTTATCGACCCAAAGTTTCTGATGCTTATAATAGGATCATTCTATGTATTTATCCACCATGGACCAAAAGATATGAAATGTTCCATAGTATTCATACAGCTATTTAAATATACATCATGAATATTAGATTTGGTATTTTAGAAACCTTTCCTAATTCATACAAATCTGACTAAAAGAGGCTCACTTATTCCCTAGATTCTTCTTTTGAGGTTAGGGGTCCAGTAGCACAATATGTTATCCTTTTATTTTCTCTGTGTGACTGACTAATACAGTGTTCAGTGAAATTGTGCAATCGTGAATTATGACTAATACAGTGTTCAGTGGAATTGTGAATTATGACTAATACAGTGTTCAGTGGAATTGTGAATTATGATGTGCTGATTTATACCACTATTTCAACTTTTGTTTCATACCTGTTTGTAATAAATTCTATAGTTCATATGGCATCTTTTCTGTACATTTTTGTTGCTTTGTAATTTGTTAACTCTATTCTTCTAAACATATTCAAAGTTTTGAACACTGGACAAGGCTTGAATTTATTATTTGTATGTTTACGATTGATTACCTGAAGAGAGGTTCCGCACATCAGCACGTGAGAACATTCTCACCTAAAATTGTTTAGATATTCTTGTCAAAGAAACCCCTTCTTTAGAGTAGCGTGTAACTATAAGTGGAGTTATTTGAGGCTTTAAATTTTTCTAAAAGTCAACACAAAAGTTTTCTTCAACTTGTTTGTGGCTTGATATTTTGTACTGAGGATATTAAGAACTGCGTTAGCCTCAAAGTCTTATCTAGAATAAACATGTTTTACTTTTGTAGTAGTTTGTGGCTTGATATGTGAAGTTGTTGGCATGTATGCAATAGCAATGATGATTTTACTACTTATAATATTTGACTTCTAATCATATTCTTTGTCTTCAGGGCGAACGCCCAGCAACCAAAGCTGTTCGTGGGTATGATCCTCATCCTCATTTTTGCCGAAGCGCTTGCTCTCTATGGGCTCATCGTCGGCATCATCCTGTCATCCCGCGCTGGCCAATCTCGTGCGGATTAGGCATGTTTCAACACGCAAACCCTTAGTGGGTTCTTGTTTCATATTCCTGAAACTACAAGCTGAGCTCTAGGGGTTTATTCTGTCTTAGTTTCTGTTCTTCTGTTGGGTCATGAACAAAAAAACATCTGTATCCAAGGGATGTTTGCCCTTGTGGTGCCATTCTTTTTCGCTATGGTGGTGCTGGCGGCGGTCTGAATCTTATTTATGCACAGTTTTTTTGGGTCTGGCTAGACAGTGATGTAATCTGGTGAATAAGCAAATAATTCGTAATGCAATGGGAGCATGAGACTCTTTTGTTCACTCAATCCTCTATTCTTTTTATTCGTCATTGAGTTGTGATTCCTGATTTCTGCAAGGTAAATTCGCACATGGTTGTTTTCAGTCTGGTACAGTTTTCGTACATTCCTTCTATCACCATGTTGTTGACATACAACTTGTAGAAATTCAGCGTGTCACTGGAAGGATATTTATTTCAATTGTCTTAAAATACAGCAATTTCTTACGATAAATTTTGTTTCAGAATACAGCCACTTTTTTTTTTTGAGATGAGAGAATATAAAACTTCTCCATCGCTCTCTCGTCTCAACCAATAATATCTTTCTACTTTTACGAGTAGTTCCTACTGCAAGTTCCAAAAGGTTCCTAGTACAGCAGTTTCCTCATCTGACAAGCCTGGCAGATTGCTTTTGTGCGATTGGGCAATCTCTACAAATTGGGTAGGCCGCCTCAGTTTGGGACAATCCACAAATTGGATAGGCCGCCTCAGTTTGGAGAATCTAGCTGCAATCATCTTGCCCTATCTGAAGAATGTAAAGTCCACGCACTTGCACAGTCCCGATTTGTCTCTTGAATGCCTTGCGTCGCAAATCCTGATTTCGGATAAAAAGAGCAACCAGGGCAATTGACATGTATTTCCTCCCTCCCATGAAAAATCAGATCCAGGGAGAAATTTAGACATAGTAGTGAATCTAAACATAGTATATGCTCATATTCATCCTTGGGATTTGAATTTTATGACATTGAGGCATTCAACTTACCTAAATAGTGCTCAGAAGGACACAAATATATATACTCCATCTTCATCTGTTTCAAAATAAGTTAATCTAGTACGAGAGTGGTATATCCTAATACCATAAATATGAAAAGGCACCTATTCAATTTTGTAGTACTATGATATGTTACATCAAGCATACTTGAACAAACCAAAATACAGATCTAAATCATAATGGTGTAAAATATCCCAAAATGATATATTTAAGCTACTTTGAATAATGGAATTAGATCCCAGCCTTTAGCTCAAGAGTTCCCAACAAAAATTTATTACAAAAGTTCAACTTTCAAGTTATAAGACATCACACGTCGATGTCTAGATGAAAAAAAAAGTAATCCATGATTGGCGAAATTTTACAATACCATCATATCAAAAGAACGGTATAATATATTAAGGTATAGTATCACAGAACTAAGTGTTTATCACAAAAGCACGCGTGGATGTTTTGTCCTAACATTGTTGTCTTGACAAAAACTTTTGAAATATATAGCTTTTTATAAATCATTTCTAAATCTGTAGTTTTGTCGTACGCCGACTTAAATGTACGTAAATTGGGAAAATTCAAATACCTTCCTCTTTCTGGTTTTCAGCATTTTTTCGCGCCCCATGGGTCTCCATTGTAGTGAGCAAAGTTGCTCCTTGCAACCTTACCTCGACCTACTTTCACCTTCCGCTTTTACCCACTTTAATTCCATTGTAGTGAGCAAAACAAGATGATGCCACTTACTTTTATATGCTTTAATTCCACCAGTATTATGGCGGCAAAACATAACGACGATCACATACCATATAAAAAGGTGTATTAAATTTCATGCTCAACGAAATAAAACATGGGGACAACTTCGCTCACCATGCTGGAGGTCCACAGGATACGAGAAACCGCAGAGCGCGACGGGAAAAAATCACTTAAAACTAACAGAGGTAAGAAGCTATCTAGTTTTCATTGGAAATACTGACCAATAAATCTATAACAAAGAGGATAATATCTCCTAAATGTGGTTTAGAACCAATGAACTATCATGACAAGTTGAGTTTAACTAAAAATGGGACCAAGTGCAGCATACTTTGGCATTGAACATCCATCCCCCTTGATCCATTAAAACCGGTTTCAACTTCATCAGCTACCAAGCACCAGAACTAGTTCATCTGGGCAGCAAAACTAGCTAAATTTCACGCAAAGATTTTCCCCAGGATCGACGAGTATTCACAATGTCAGGTGGTAAAACTGTTTTTCCTGAAAAATCAAACGAAAAATTGGTATTCCTCATCTCATTCTCAGCTGAAATTATTCCTCTTTTTTTTTTCTGGCTACCTAACTAACCAAGAAATCGTCGCCGTCCACGATGAGCGGCGCCGACGGCCCGTCGAGCAGCAGCGCGTCCAGCGAGCTCGCCGCGCCGCCGTCGGTGGCGGGCGCGGCGGCGGCGACTGGCACGCTTACCACCTCTTCTTTTTGCTCGTCGGGGATTGGCTCGGCGGCGGACACCGGCGGCGGCGGTGGAGTGGAGGGGTTGGTGCTCTGCCGCTGCTGGCGGCGGAGCTCGAGCACCTGGCGGTGGTTGGCGGCGTGCACGGACGGCGAGAAGGTGGGGCTCCCCTTGGGGCGGTACTCCGGCAGCAGCCTCCCTTGCCTGTACCGCACGCCGCACGCGTTGCACAGCGTGCCGCGCCCCGTCGGCCCCTCCCGCCACTGCGGCGTCTCCGTCGAGCCGCAGTGCACGCAGCTTCTCTTCCTCTTCGGCTTCTTCGCCTTCGCCTTCGTCTTCGTCTTCGGCGACGCCGGCTGCGGCGGCGGCGGCGGAGGCGCGGGCGCGGGCGCTGTGGGCGGAGCTTGCTTGGTACGGGGAGGCCGCGTCACCGGCAGCTTCGGTGTCCTCCTGACGAGGTAGATGTCGGGCGACGACGAGGGCGGCTTGTGGCCGGGCGTCCAGATCGGGCTATCGGGCGGCGACGCGGGGGCGGCCGTCGTCGTCCTCGCCGCCGGCGCGCGGTGTTCAGGCAGCGAGCCGACCGCCCTGAGGCGGACGCCGCAGGCGTTGCAGAGCGTGCTCCTCCCCATCGGGCCCGACCTCCACTGTGGCGTCTCCACCGCGTCGCAGTTCAGGCACCTCCTCGCCCTCTTCGCCGCCCTCTTGCCCGCCTCCTCCTCGCCGGGATCGACGGGCGGCGGCGGCGCCACCACCACCACCACGCGCGCCACCCCCTCCTCCTCCTTGACCGGATTCTTGGCCGGCGGTGGCGGAGGCGGAGGCGGGGGGCGGAAGACGGGGAGCCGGAAGGCCCACCACGCCATGGGCACGGCGCGGGGGAGGTAGCTGCGAGGCCTACGGGGCACGGGCACGGCGGCGTCGAGGTGGGCGATGAGGACGGCCAGCGACGCCATGGCCGGGAGCGCGAGGACGTACCTAACACCACCACCACCACCACCGCCGCCGCCGCCGCCAACGTCGCCGTCGCCGTCCATGTCGCCGGTCGCCGCCACAGATCGCCGGAGCCGTAGGCGCCTTTCCCTGGCTAATCCGGGCGGCTGCTCGGCAACGAAATGCTATCTTTAGACAACTCCCTCTCGTTTTGCAACAAAAATCAAACCCATAAAAGAAAAAGAAAAGAAAAACAAGAAGCCAAGAGATTGACGGATACTTGTACCTCTCCTATTCCGCCCTCCACCGCCGCCATGGATGGCCGGCGGCGAGCTTGCTTGCTTTGGCCGCGCGCGGCAAGCGAGCGGCGGCGACGGGGCGCGTCAGCAGGAGAGGGAAAGAGGGGAGCTTTTTTTTTTTTTTCCTTCTTCCGTGAGAGATGCCGACGCAGGATGTGGGTCTTCTTATTTGGGGCGTCTCTAGTGACGTTAAAATGGGGAAAAGAAGCTTTTTTTTTCTTTTTTTCCTTTCTGTTTCTGTTGTATTTGTCTCTTGTATTTAAGGTTGGTAGAAATGAGGTGGATTCAATTTTGTGTCATAAAGTATAATTGTCCAAATCTCTTTGCCTCAACTGCATTTGTTCATATGTGAATGCGAACTTGGGTTCCTTGGTTAACATGAACAACATGTGTGGAATGTCTATCGAGGAAGTTTACGTGTCAATACGTATGGAGATGGAATGGATAGTTTATGATTCAGTCCGTCTCGGATTCGGATAAGAGTGACCGAGTGAGGATCTGGTAACGGCTTTTTAAAGGTCCGACGGATTGTAACGGACGAATGAAGATTCGGTCACGGTATTCATTTTGTCGGATGTGGATTATCCGACCAAGTTAATCCAAGTTTTCTAGCTTTCATAGATTCGATTCATGTACCATCATTAGCATATTAGTGTTCCATTTGTCGTTTCTACAGTATATTCGGTATTGTCGTTTCTATCCTATAGACTTCCCGTGTGTCTAGAAGTAAAATTGGATCCCTTGTTTGATGCTTGGTTGTCGTTTGTTTGCCACCATTGTAGTTTATATGTATGTGATACTTCCATGCATGGAATGTATATCGAATAAGTTTACGTGCCCATATGTAGGAAATGAAATGAAATGGATAGTTTTTGATTAATTCTGTCTCGGATTCGGACGAGTGACCGAATGAGGACCTGGTAACGGTTTTTTAAAGATCCGCAGATAGTAACGGAAGGATGAAAATTTGGTCACGATATTCATTTTGTCGGATGCGGATTATTCGACCAAGTTAATCCAAGTTTTCTTTATATTATAGACTGGATCATGCACCATCATAGCATATATTATTGTTTCATTTGTCACTTCTATAGTATATCCAGTGTTCCATTTATCATTTCTATTCAATAGGCTTCTCACGAATCTAGGAGTCTAATTGGACCCTTGCTTTATGTCAGGTTGTTGCTTGTTACCACCGTACCGTTGTACTTTATATGTATGCGGAACTACTGTGTACGTAACGTACATTGAATAAGTTTATCTCTGATGGCATGAAAATGTTCCGGTTCAATCCATTTTAGATTCAGACAAGAGTAGTCAAATGAGAATTTCGGTAATGCCTTTTTAACTTTTAAATTAAGATCCAATAGATAGTAACGTACGGATGAAGATTAGGTTGTGGTATTCATTTTGTCGGATGCAGATTATCCGACCAAGTTAATCCAAAACTTTTGATATACCATTGGTTGGATCATACACCATCATAGCATATCCACTATTTAGTTTGTCGCTTCTATAGTATATCTAGTGTTCTATTTGTCGCTTCTATCTCATAGACTTTTTGCGAGCCCGTGAGTCTAACTAACTACCTTGTTTGACGTTAGGTTGCTGCTTGTTACCACTCTCATACTTTATACATATGTGCGTATTGGTCCATTTCTAAGTTGAGTCCACTCGGACTCCTTAGTGTTTTCAAAGTCTGAAGTAATTCATTCCATATTTGCAAAGTTAAAATCCACTTAAAAATATGGTATAATATTCATCATCCATCCTCATCCCATCCATTTCATCCCTACCAATTATGTGGCATATTTGGAGAGTCCTTATCTCTTGGGGAGAAAATCAAAGGGATATGCCATATGTCAGATAACTTCAGTGAGATATTTTGATGATAGGGGATGCCTGATATGGTATAAGTCAAGTAATGACATGTGCAAATGTAGGTAGCAAGATAGAACGAAGTTACGAGGATACTCTTAAATTTTTAAATAATATATCTGTACATATCACACTATAAAGATAAGGTTAAACAGTTACTCCCTCCATTTCAGAACGAAAGTGATTCTAGATTTTTTTTTTCAAGAGATTAAGAAGAGATTGAGGAGAGTATAATATTTCTTATAAATAAAATATGGTTGGCGACGGGATGATGATCATCGGGAGTAATATGGAAAGGGGAAAAAGATGACTACCAGTACCATGGACGGCTGTGGCCTGTGGCTGCTCGGCTGGGAGGGTCAGCTGGGGAGGGAAAGAGTGTCAGCTGAAGATGACGATGCAAGATTTTGGCTCTCTTTCTCTCTTCATTTTCTGGTGTCTGGAGTGACGCAAACACAGGAAAAATAAAGCCCCTTTTTTTTTCAGTTTTTGTTCCCGTTGTAGTTGTCTCTTGTAGTATTAAAGTTGGTAGAATTAGGTGGAATTTAATTTTGTGCTATAAAGTATACAAGTCTATAAGTCTCTTCCACAACTGTATTTGTTGCAGTATGAACGTAAATTTCAATTTCTTAATTAATACGATCACGTATGAAACGAATATCGAATAAGTTTACATATCACTGTACATAAAAAACGAACGGGATAGTTTCCGATTCAGTTCATTCCGAATTCGGACAAGAATGACCAAGCAAGGATCCAGTAATGTCTTTTCAAGAATCCGACGGTTAGTACGTACCAATAAAGATTCATATATGGTATTCTTTTTTGTCGGGTACGGATTATCCGACCAAGTTAATCAAAATCTTCTATATATCATATCAATGATTTGGATCGTACACGCTCATAGCATATCCACTATTATGTTTGTCGCTTCTATAGCATATCCTGTGTTCATTTGTCGCTTCTACCATTCAGACTTTTTGCAAGCCTGGGAGTCTAACCTGCTCGATATCAGGTTGTTGTTTGTTACCACTGTTGTACTTTGTACATTTGCACATATTGGTCCATCTCTAAGTTAAGTCCACTTTGACTGTATAGTGTTTCTCAAAATCCGAAGTAATCCGTTCCATATCCGTAAAGTTAAAATCCACTTCAATGGTATAATATTTATCATCCATTCTTATTCTATCCATTTTATTCGTACCAATCTCATTGGGAGGAAATCAAAGGGATATGTCACATAACTTTAGTAAGATATTTGGATGATTGGAGATGTCTAATATGGTATGGTAAAGTTTTGATATGTGCAAATGTAGATAGCAAGATACAACGAGTGTACTCTTACTTTTCTTATAGCATATCCGTACATACCACATCATATAGATAAAAGGTCCCTCCCCTCTGTTTATTAACATTGGTGATTTTAGATTCATTTGGAGATACTAAGGTTGTGTTTTAGAGAAAGAGGGAAGATTGATAGAATATGTAAAATGAGATGAACTATTAGTATAAGAATACACTCTTATTTTGCTAGCTAATTAAAGTGTGGCCTACTTTTTATTGGCCATAACTTAGCTAAAGTGTGGCACGAAAGTATGGGAAATGGTGATAATGTTAGTATAGCATCTAAACAACCCCTAAATTGCACAAAACCATAACTGTTTTGGCGCGCGGCACATAACCCCATACATTATGGTCATAAAGTTTATCGAACATGCCATTGATCATTTTTTTTACTTTAGTCTACCGTATATTCAAGTTCTATAATTACACATCAAATTTATACGTTCTTTATCCATTATATAAATATTACATCTATATGAATATTTTTCAAAAGAAAATTGATATAGGAGTATGCTAAATCGGTTAATGGTGTGGTTTTGTAAAACTTTAATATCGTAATAAAGGTTATTTATTACATGTCAAAATGTTCACGGTTTTATATAACTTACATGATGAAGTTGTACAAAATTTACTCATTTGATAATAAGGTGCGGTTTGGGACAGGATGATCATCGGGAGTAATATGAAAAAAAAAAAAAGGAAAAATATCATGGACGGCGAGCGAGCGAGCCAGCTGTGGGCCGTTGGCCGTGGCTAGCGGACAGCCATGCCAGCAGGAGAGGGAAAGAGGGGTGCTTCAGTAAAAGGTAATGTCGCAAAGATGTTTGCTCTCTTTCTTTCTTCCTCTTTTTTCTCCTTCTCGAGTGACGCAAAAATGGGAGAAGGAACTTTTTTTTTCCCTTAGGTTTTTGTTCCCGCTATAGTTGTCTCTTGTATTATTAAAGTTGGTAGAATTAGGTGGAGTTTACTTCTATGTTATATGTTATAAAGTTTATTTGTCTAAATCTTACCATGACTGCATTTGTTGTCGTATGAACATAAATTTAGAATATTTCATCAATATAATCACATGAAATATATATCGAATAAGTTTACGCGTCACTATACATGAAATCGGATGGCATAATTTTTGGTTCAATCCGATTTAGATTCGGATAGATGTGGCCGAGTGAGGATTTGAAAAGCCTCTTTCGACAGGTTACAACGGATGGATGATGATTCGGATATGGTATTTATTTTTGTCGTATGCGGATTATCCGATCAAGTTATCCAAGTTCTTTTATACCATAGATTGGATCATACACTATCATAGCATATCCACGGTTCCATTTGTCGCTTCTAACATGTCTATTGTTTCTTTTGTCGCTTCTAGCTAGCATATAGATTTCCCACGAACCTAGTAGTCTAATTGGATCCCTTACTCGATGTCAGGTTGTTGTTTGTTACCACTGTTGTATTATATGCATGTGCACATATTGGTTCATTTATAAGTTGAGTCCACTTTGACTTCATACTGTTTCAAAATCCAAAGTAATTGTCCCATATCCGCAAAGTAAAATCCACTTAAAAATACGTTATATTGATCATCCATCCTCATCACATCCGTTTCATCCCAAACAATTGTATGGCACATTCGGAGAGTCCCAGTATCATTGGGAGGAAATTAAAGGGATGTCACATGACTTCACATTAAGTAATGATATGTGTACAAATATAGATAGCCAGATACAACGACAACCCTTTCTCTTTTTTTTTTAACATAAAAATGTCTTTACACTTTAAGCGCTTCCACACTAAACACACACAGACCAGCGATTTTTAAGTATGAATTTCTCTATAATGTATTTATAGGAGAGAGCAGCAGGTTGATGGACAGCTAGAACTGTTCTGCTCCCGTGTCTCAATTTGGAAAAAGAAAGTGAAAAGGGCGTTGTACTTTCCTAATAAATTAGGAAATATGTTAATAGTTTACCACCTTAGTTTGCTCTCTCTCTCTCTCTCTTTTCCGTCTCGAGTGATGCAAAAATGGGAAAAGAAAGCTTTTTTTCAGTTTTATTTTGGCCGTTGTAGTTGTCTCTTGTATTAAAGTTGGTACAATTAGTTGGATTCAATTCTTTGTCATATATTCCCTTCATCTAAAAAAACTCAACCTAGGAGGGACTACTCCTAGGACAACAAATCTGGATAAGGGTAGTCCAGATTCATAGTCCTAGCCTCCTAGGTTAAGTTTTTTTAGACGGAGGGAGTAGTACATTGCAAATTTCTTGCCACAGCTGCATTTGTTCTCATTTTTTAATAGTGGATTTTCATTAATCTAATATCTATATGCACAAAGGATATACATAGCCAAAAGAGATACAAGAGCACAGAGGAGAACATACAACAATCAAAAAGAAAAACCTACAACCTCGGCACGCCTTTGCTTCTCGACATCCTCTCCTGAAGTAGCCAGATTCGGTGAGTGCAAGTTGTCTAGTCATCGCATTTGTTCTCATATGAACATGAACAAGGAATTCTTCAGTAATACAACCATGCATGGAATATATATCGAAAAAAATTTACACACCATTATGAATGAAAACGGATTGGATAGTTTCTGATTCATTCGGTTTCTGATTCAATAAGACTGCCTTTTTAAAAATTCGGCAGGTAGTAACGGATATATTAAGATCCGAATATGGTATTCATTTTGTCGGATGTGGATTGTCCGACCAAGTTAATCCAATTTTTCTATATACCATAGAATAGATTGTACACCATCATAGCATATCCAATATTCCATTTGTCGCTTCTATAGTATATCTAATGTTTTGTCGCTTCTATCATATAGATTTCTCGCGAGCCAGAGAGTCTAATTGGATCCTTGCTTGATGTCAGATCATTGCTTGTTATCACTTTTGTACTTATATGTACGTGCCTATTGGTTCATTTATAAGTTGAGTCCACTCTGATTCCATAGTATTTACAAAATTCAAAGTAATCTGTTCCATATCCACAAAGTTAAAATCTACTTAGAAATATGTTAAAAATACAATATATTTATCAACCATCCCTATCTGATCCATTCCATCCCTATTAATTAAATGGCATATTTGGAGTCCTAATCTCATTGAGAGGAAATCAAAGGGGTATGCCACATGAAAAGGGATATGTTCAGTAATAAGTTTTTGAAAAGGGATAAGGTACAACATGACTGTTATTACCTGATTCCTTCTCAGAACACCTGGATTGAATCTTTTTATTATTATTATTTTAGAAAGGTGGACTGAATCTTTTGATATGCTACGGTTGGCTACTGTGGAGGGATGGCAAATTCAGGTTCATTTGGCAATTAGGAACTTTATAGGATTTTTTTTGTTCAATTTCTCCAAAATTCCTTAAACATTCCTCCATTCCAAAGGAGGTTTGAATTTTCTATGTGCTACGCATGGCTGCTCCGGAGCGATGGCATACGGATTACATTAGGCTTGACCGCTAATTTATATGGTAAAATATATGAAAAACCCACAAAACTATAATAGCCTTAAAATGTTTTGAGGCAAATCTACAAGCATGATGTTTATTTTTTTTCTAATACATAATACATTCAATCTAAATATATTTTTTTTAAAAAAAAGATATTTAAAGTTTAAAAAGTTTAACTCGAACATGTACAAACTACAAAACGACTTGTCTTCTTGGCTGGAGGGAGTAATTATCTTCGTGATCATAATAGCCCCATAATATGTAGAATGCCTTTTTTTTTTCCTTTGAACAATGTAAATTCACAAGAGAATATGGCAGAGACACAGAAGTAAGTGTGAAATGAGGCTACACATAATTGTGCTAGCTCCAAAAGATCAAACAACCACAGCTCCAAAATTTCAGGCTACCTCCTGCCGGTATCAGCATCTTCAGTTTGCTCACAAGAGCTCTGTCCTACGGTAGCTGGTTGTGTCAAAACGTCGAGTAGGCTTAATCAGCAATTCAGCATTGATCATCAGGCGTATAGTTTAGCAAGATCATCCTCATATGTCTTCCTGAGCACTTCCCTCTTGAGCTTGAGGGCAGCAGTGACAAGGCCAGACTCCGGGGTCCATGGCTCAGATATCAGCTTGATCTTGGCCGGGATCTCAAACTTCTCCAGTCGCGCTTGCTTCGCAGCCTGAAATAGCAAGTTTATGTCATTAGAGTTGAATTTTTCATTCTAAAAGTGGACGTGGTTTGCAAATTTTCAGCTTACGTTCAAATTAGTATGCCGCAAAGGGCCAGGTCTAGAGTTCATCCAAGGATGCACCCTACATTATTGATGGACGAGGTGAGTGGAGAATACAAACCTTTGATAGAGATCCAAGCACTTCTTTAACAGCCTCTGGCTTCTGGCACAAATCTACGAAATCGGTGTATGTAACTCCCTGCTGCGAAGCCCAGTTTTCCAGCTCATTGTGTGCAGCTACCACAAGTGCAACACAGTAACTGTGGAAAGGATCAGCATGGATCATGATGTTCTCCACATATGGGCTCACAATCAGAGCAGCCTCCACCTGTGATGGTCCAATCAGTTAAGAAGGGCTAACAACTACTAGTCTGAACAGAACATGACTATTGCTGACCTTCCCGAGAGACACATATTCACCATGTTGAAGCTTCACAATATCCTTTTTACGGTCAATGATTTCAAGGCAGCCATCTGGGTGGAAGCGCCCGATGTCACCAGAATAGAACCATCGCATACCTTTTTCGTCATCCTTCACAAGATAAATGAGGTACAAAGGTTATGTAAATTATTGTGGATAGAAGGTTATTACTATGAGCCGTGAAGTAGTCATCGAACATATTGGTAACAAGACAACATACCTTATAGACTTCATTTGTTTTAGCTTCATTCTTGAAATAGCCTTTAGTTACATTGGGACCACCAATGACAATCTCTCCTCGAGGCATTGGGGAGTCACTTGTTAAGTATCCACCTTCTGACCAGTCAATCAGCTGGATAATATAATTACAAAAATGTCAAGCATCGGTGTGATGCCAACAGATAATAGTGACTAGAATAATATGGAGATCAATCAGATTACTGAAAAAAGATCAGCGTGTTACAAATATCAAAGCATGAGCTTGTCAGTGATCACAAAAACCAAAACAGTGAACATATTCTTTCATATATGGACGATCTTCAAGACTTCAACTCACAGTGGTTTCTACCAAAAACGAATTCATCTGAAATTAGAATATGGGTAAGAAAAACAAAACTTACCTTAATGTACGAACAAGGTAGTGGAGCACCAACGCGACCAACAGATGGGTCATCATACTCAGAAAATGTTCCTCCAGCACATGTCTCAGTAAGACCATACCCTTGCCCTATTGGAACCCTGAAATTGCATAAACTTGTTAATTCCCAGGTCTCTATGCATGTTGAAACAAATAAGCATAGTTCATTCTTCATTGTGTTTAAATTTATGATTTCATTGTGTTTAAACATAGTTCATTAAACAAGGATGGCAACTAACAACATGGGATGATGGTATTCATAATCTTACCCAAGGCATATATTGATAAATCTCTGGGTATCTCCTGATAGAGGTGCTCCACCTGAAAGTACAAAGCGAATTTTTCCTCCCAAAACTGCTCGCACCTTTTTGAAGACAAGCATATCCCACAAGAGTTTCTCTAATCCCCATGCACCCAGCCAACTTCCATTGACTGCGGCAAGTCGACGATTATAGGCAACATCAAATAACTGCTTTGCTACACCACCCTTTGTATCCACCTAAAGCCATCCCAATATGAAAAATAACAATCAGTAAATTAAGAAAGAGATGAAGAACATTGGACGAAACAGCTTAAAGTGCAGTACCTTCTTTCTCACACCATCACGAACACGATCAAGTATAGCAGGTACAGCGGTCATCAGTGTTGGCTTGAGTGCAGAAGCATCACCCAGTGTTCCCTTTTTTATTTTGTTTGATGTATCAGTCAGGGTCAAGGGTGATCCATATCCTATGGAAGCCCCAACAGCAGCTATGAGTGCCTGAAAAAAAAATCCATACAGTGAGTTATTAATCTTAAGTAACCGATGATGTAAATAGATGCTATTTTAGAGTCACCTCAGCTGCCAACTCAAGAATGTGTGCAAGTGGCAGGTAGGCCAGGTATACATCCTTTTTACCAATTTCAGGCACAATGGTCATAACTGCTGAAAGTGTAGCCAGGACGTTCCGATGGGTCATCATTACTCCCTATAAAACATTTTTAGTATATGTTAGTTTATTTGCAGAAAATACAGTTAACTGATATTTCACATGGTATGTGTATCATGAAGTAATTGCCAACATGAGTCCTGGAAGTAAAAGGCAAATTTGTAGCATAAAGATATTCCAAAATGAGAACACTGGAAAAACAGGTGGGCTTGGGCAAACCTTAGGCAATCCGGTGCTACCGCTTGTATACATTATCACTGCTACGTCAGATGGGAGAGGCATGTTTGCATCAACAGGTGCTGTATCTCCCAATCTACCTACATCCTCAAACGGCTCAATTATCCAGCTAGTGCTTTTTTGAGCTAAAGAAACTTCAGCTGAGATTCCTTCCTCATTGATATAGATAACTCGCTTTACTGTGTCAAGCTGCCCACTTATATCAATCATTTTTTTCAGTTCTTTCTGACCACATACAACAGTAGTAACCTCTGTCTGGAGAACATAAGGGCAAATTAGCTCATTTAGTGACAGAGACTACAGTACAGACAAGGTGAGACACAAGTGACTGTACTGTCTACTTACCTCATTTAGTGAGTGGCACAGTGCTTCCTCTCCCAAGGAGGCGTAGATTGTGACAACTGTAATATTTTGCCTGAAGCATGCCTTGCAAATAGAAGAACAGTAACTTAGAGAAACTCAAGTTCAGATCTCAATGGAACAGGAACAAGGTTGATCTCAACATTAGAGAGCAATAGGGGGGAAAAATAGGAAACAGAGTCAGGGTGGATGTATGTTAAACAAACCAATTAAGATTTATATAAGCATGCAGCATGTGCAATATTTCCAATGACTAGTATCTTCATGAGGCACTATACTTTTCACGGTATGACAGCATGTACATATACGCTCGGTAACCCATACCATTCCTGTGTCTGCTGCTGTCACACCTACGAACCTACCACTGTCAGTTACACACATACCATAATAATCAAATGTTGTGCCACCCATTGACAAATCTGAATACCCCGTTACTCAATTTACATGATTACGTTAAATAAAGAACTGCACTATCATTCTGTATTACTACTTCAATACTTTTTTTGCCACGATGTTACTAGTTGAATACTGTTGGTTGTCCGCTATTTAGATAAGCATATTAGCAGAGCAGAACACCTGCAATTGCAGGGTTTCTTAGGACAAACCTTGTCTGGAACACTCATTTCTATCTATGCATGTTTCACTACGTAGGAATTTTGCTCTATGTATTTATCCATTGCATTCCTTCTTCACATCTCCACAGAAATAGAACACACAAGATTAGCATATGAAACAATTACAGAAGAAGAAACAGGGGCCTACCTGCAGAGCAATTTGCCACTCAGCCCGCGTCTCGGCGAAAATAGCAACACGATCAGTCTTCTGATGGCCTAGCCGAATTAGTCCAGATGCGAAGTTGCAAACACTCTTGAATACCTCAGCGTAGCACTTCCAGTCATACTCTCCAAGATGAAGCTTCTCAAAGGACCTCCCATCTAGTGATGATTCCTGTTCCCTGGAGATGAGCTTCCTGGTGCCGAGGAGCGGCATGTTGACATAATCCTTGCAGGACTGCTCAAACAACTCGGCGAGCGTGGTGACACCTTCCCAGTGAGTTTCAACCGGTTGCTTGAATCGATAGTTGCGGATTGCATACCCGGGCTCTCCACCCACATCAACTGGCAGTGCCCTCATCTTCCCAACCATTCTCCTCTTCCGTAGGAGAAGAGATACCGCAATTGGGACGAGAAGACCAACAAAATAAGGGTTCATACTTATTCAAGAATGCTCTCTGCACTGAATTATATATGGGAGGTGAAGTACAGTTTCACATGTGCACTGAAGAAGAAACCTGCATAGTAAAGATATGAATCTCACAAGGTAAAGGAACAGAATCATAAATAAATAACTGAAATTTCAAGTAGGTCAGATTGCAATATGCAAACAAATTCCACGTGCAACAAACAGGCTGCAGCCTGCAAGGCTCCTCCTTTGGGCCCATTGTATAGTGAACTTTTAGGTTAGAATTGCAATATGTAAAGGAAAATCCATATATGCAACAAACAAACAAACAAACTGCAAGGTTCGTTCTTTGGGCGGCCCATCGTAATTGTGCAACCACTCCACTTACTGATTGACTCATTACAAAATAAAAATTGACTAGGTGATTGCTTTGGCAATGTATCAAAGCATGTAGGACGCGATGCAATGCCCCCAAAAGAAGAGAATTTGACAAAAGCTACTACCTCCATCCCATTTTTCATTCATCCCACACGTACCAAAATACAAAACCAAAAAATCTAAAATACCCATAATTTATCGAATCACAATGCAATTATTGCTAACTTTATCTTACTCTCAATACATTTATTCTCTATTTTTATAAACTCCGATGCAATGATCACTCAAAAATCAAAATAAACTTATTTTGGGACAAACAGAAGAGGCCAAAAAAATGAACAGTATTATGGGACAGAGAGGGATAGTTAATCCAACGGGTAGTTGGAACTGCAGGTAACAGTGTTCTCTCTCTAGGTTTCGCCACACAAGCTGGCGCTGCACTTACCACCGTCCCTACCCTACATCTGCGATGAGCCGATGATGATGATGCGTGCATGCATGCAAGCTCCGAGCCGCGGCGGCGAGGGGAGGGCGGTTACCTTGCGGAAGGCGATCGTGGCGTGGAGGGATGGAATTGGGGGGAGAGGGAGAGCGCGGTGGCGGGCGGCGAGTGCTCCTCGCGTCGGCGTGGGCGGCGGCGCGTGGAGAGTTGGCGTTGCGTGGTGCGAGATGATGGATTCGTTTGCGGCCGGCGTTTGTGCTGGCCCCACCAAACCAAATCTTCTCCTTCCTCTTTCACTGGGCCTGCCTTCCGCGGCCTAAAGAACAAGTCCATTTAATGTCCCTGAAGTATAGGTTGAGTTTTATCAGCAGCCCTCAACCGCCGAGGGGGCCCCACCAAACCAATCTTCTCTTGTCCTTGTTGGGCCTGGATTCCTCGGCCCAAACTGGACAACCGTATCACCGTTTGGAATAAGTTCACTTGTCATTCCTCATCTTTACGTCTTAGACATCCTTAACAGCCATACCTACTTATAAAATCGGGTTAAATTAAATCCTTCCACAGTATAAATGACCGGTTTCACTGATCTAGCGCTTACGTATCAAAAACGGAAGTGAGCCCCACATGTCAACCCTCACTCTCCTCCCATCTTCTCCCTCTCTCTGTTCTCCTCTCCTTTCACGTGCTCCCGGTCTCTCCTTCCAAATCAGGTCAGGCAGCTAGCTGAGCAGCTCGGCGACGGGGGGAGCGAGGCGAGGGGCCTAATGATGGGGGACCGTTGCATCAGCGAGACGGTGCCGATGTTTCAATCAATGAGACCGAACCGTTCGGTCTCGCTCTTCCGTCCCGCGAGACGGTCTTGTACTTTCCCCACACGATACCATCCGTGACGTACGCACTCATCATTTTCATCAATGATTGTGCAAGATCGACGATTTATTTGTAAAAAAAAATTTACAACCCGAATATTTCTTTTCTTTAGAATGCAACCCAATATTTCTAAAAGAAAAAGAATGAACAGTATATTTTCAAATTTAATTTGGTTGGCCACTTACACGTGGACCACACATGTTTTTTATTTCTAAAAGAAAAAGAATGAACAGTATATTTTCAAATTTAATTTGGTTGGCCACTTACACGTGGACCACACATGTTTTTTATTTATTCATTTGCTGACTAGATGCCACGTCGGCGAACCACTCATTCATATTACTATGGGATCTAATTTAGATGGTTTGTGCGGTTTAGTAGGAATACAAATTTATCAAACTCAACGTAAAGGTGAGGGACAGCAAAACGGGATTATGGGCCATATTTAGATGGAATAAGTTCACCAGAGGTCCCTCAACTTAACAGCGAGATTTTTTGAGGTCCCTTGACCACAAAACCAGAAATGTGTACCCCTAAACTCCCTTAAACCGTTCACCGGAGGTCCCTCGGCAGTATTTTTGTCCGGTTTTACTGACGTGGCATCCTAGTCAGAAAAAATATATTAAAAAGTACGTGGGGCCCATATGTCAGCTGCACATTCTCTTTTCTCATCTCTTTTTCAGTGAGGCGGCCGGGTAGATGAGGGCGTGGCAACAGGCGGCGATGCGGGCACAGCGGCGCGCGGGGAAGAAGCGGGGGAGGGGAGAGGAGGCGGGCGGCGTGGAGCGAGCGCGCCAGCGGTGGCGGGAGAGTGGGAGAGAGGCGGCTGGGACGGCGGGAGCGGTGGGCAGGGCAGCGGGCGAGAGTGGCAGCGGAGCGGCGGCGCTCGTCATGCTCCAGCTCTTCACCGCCGGCGTCTTCGTCGTGTTGGTTGACCTCCACGAGCGCGGTAGGCGGAGCAGCGGTGGGCGGAGGGCGGCGGGCAATTACGACGGAGCGAGGGGCCTGGTCGGCGAGCGGCGGGGGGACAAGTGTGGCTGCGGAGCGGTGGCAGGCGGTCGGCGGCGACCTCTTCGCCGATGCGGCGCACCACCCCCTCTCCCGCCGGCCTCATCTTCGCCGATGATGCGACGAGGTTGATGGGCTCCTCGTCGTCGTTGCCGTCCCCGGGTGGGAGCAGCGGCGCGGGGGGCTTGTAATCGTCGTCGTCGGGCAGGGCGGCCTTGGCGCCCTTCTTGCCGGAGAGGAGAGAGAGCCAGCCGAGCTTCACTCGCGAGCTTGTAGGCGGCAATGGCGTCCCTCCGCGCGCGAGAGAGGAAAGGCCAAAAGCCCGTGAACGCATGCATGCTAGCTATGGGTTCTCAAGTGAGGGATACATGCATGCAGTAGAGAGAAAAAGACCAAAGCAAAAGCAGCTTGTGATTGATTTGCAGGCTGCACGGGTTGAAAGTGACAAGATCGATCGATCGAATATATATGTATATATTCATGAATGAATGCATATATGCATGTAACTCTAGGCCTCGCCCACGGCGACGACGACGGTGGAGAGCCGACGACGACGGCGGCCACGGCGCGCGGCTGCTCCGCCCGCAGCCTCCGCTCCGCTGCCTCCGCTCCGCCGCCGGACGGCCGCGCCGCGTAGCCTCGCTCACAGCAACGACGACGGTGGAGAGCCGACGACGACCGCGGCCACGGCGCGTGGCTGCTCCGCCCGCAGCCTCCGCCCGTAGCCTGAAGGAGAAGAGGAGAGAAGGAGAAGAAAATAGAAGAAAAAAATATGTGCAGCTGACATGTGAGCCCTACGTATTTTTTTTAAATTTTTTTTTGCTGACTAGGATGCCACGTCAGTAAAACCGGGCAAAAATACTGCCGAGGGAACTCCGGTGAACGGTTTGAGGGAGTTTAGGGGTACACATTTCTGGTTTTGTGGTTAAAGGACTTCAAAAAAAATCTCGCTATTAAGTTAAGGGACCTCCGGTGAACTTATTCCTATTTAGATAGGATAGAAGAACAGTCACCATCATGGCCCATATAGTCTTCGTTAGGGCTGGCCCACTCTCTGGGATTGGGCCCGGTGACCGTCAGCCATGGAGGATTGGAGGCGACGAGGATGAACGGCTCAAGGCACGCAAAAACATATAGTCCGATCGAGAGAAAAGAACTTTAGGTTGCCCTAGCTCGTGAATGCATTCTATTCTTCGGCTTCGCGCAACACTTTGATTGTTCTTTCGTCTCTCACATTTTACTTGGAGACCACTTCATTCTCGCACTAGAACAAAAATGCATGAGCAACAATCCTCAAGTTCCTCCTCGATCCGTCTCTCACCTTTTAATTGGAGAGAGAACAAATGAGCCGAGCTAGCAAAATCCTTACTACGTACTTTCCTGTTACGAGTTAGTTCACCCCCATTACACATCGATCGATCGCACCACAAAAAACACCAGTGAATCGATCCAAGGAGATGGAGGCTTAATTATATTACCCCCGAATTCGACCAGAGGAAGAACGTGGTGCGGCAGCATCTCCTCCAGACCATCTTCGTGCTCTGGCTCATCGTCAACACGACGAGAGGCCACAACATGAGCTATCGGGTGGTCACCTGGGCGTTCTGGAGCCTCAGCGTGTTCAAGGCGGCGGCGATGGTCGCCGAATTCCTCGTTGGGCGGAGCAACGATGTGGCCTCGCGGCGGCGCATGGGAGTGGAGGTGATCGCGCGGTACATGGAAATCGAGGAGTCCCTCGCCGCGGGAGACCAACCGGCTAACCCCAGGACGATGAAAGGGTACAAGTACATCTTCCACGGGGAGGCCACCGTGGCGCCCATGAGCCGGGACGGCGACATCCTGGCGCAGATCAGCTCCAGCAAGTCGGTCGTCACCATTGACTGGGTCTACCCGTGGATCGACGATCAGGTCGGGTACTCCGAGTTGGAGAAGGATTTGGCCAGGGACATATGCCTCGCGTTCACGCTGTACAAACTGCTGAAGCTACGGCTCTACGGGTACATTCACGCAGCGGCTGGGTCGCAGAAGGCGAAAGATCTCATCTTCGCTCGAGCTTTTCCAGGCGGTTATCGTCTTCAACAGCAACTGGATGATGTACATCAAGACCGTGTACGGCTGCGTGCGCGACGAGCGGCCCTGGTACAACAGGCGCCGCCGCCACCTCTGGTGGAAGGAGTACATCGCGCCGCCCAAGATGAATTACTGGGAGGACAATCTCGGCGAATATGTGCTCCTCGAGGGGTTCAACCACCGACCGTGGGTGTGGAACCTGCTGTCGTGGCTGACGCTGTGCCTGGTGGAGCCACGGAGGCAGGGCCAGAAGAGGGGACGGACCAAGCACCTGACACGGGAGGTCAGCGGAGCCGTGCTCCTCTCCTTCAAGTCTAGCTCTGGGCGGCTCACCAATGGCATCTCCACCTTGCGAAGGCACGGCCTGTCGTCTCGGCTGGGGTGGGCGTGCACTTTCCCAAACCTCACTGACCAGATCCTTGTGTGGCACGTCGTCACCACGCGCTGCGACTGGGCGAGTGGCCGTGGCCGTAGCCGCCGCGACGACGACCACCATAACAGGCTCGTGGCGAGGAGGCTGTTCAACTACTGCGCCTACTTGGTGGCATTCGTGCCAGAGATGCTCCCGGACCCGAGCTACATCGCCCAGCAGATCTTCGACACGACGGTGCAGCAAGCGCGGGACCACTTCGACGGATGTAGGACGACGAGCTCCGTGCTCGCGAGGCTACAGGAGATCCAAGACAAGGAGAGATGCGGTGCCCGCGTCCGAGAGACAAGTCAGCTCCACCATCATCGAGAAGGCGGCGCTGCTCGGCGGCCAGCTCAGGATGGCTATGGACAACGAGGAGCGGCTGTGGCAGATGCTGGCCGAGTTCTGGGTTGAGTTCATACTGTTCCTCGCGCCATCGGACAACGTGGACATCCACGTCGAGATGCTCGGCGCAGGCGGCGAGTTCATGACGCATCTTTGGGCGCTAGTCTACAGTGCCGGCATCCTGACACGGCCGGACGGTGGCGCGTCCGTGTAGATGCATGTTTAAGCTCCTGTAATCACGCAAAAAAAAAAGGGCTCCTGTAAGGTTAGAGTATGATTTGGTTGTAATTAAGCCCCTTAGATTAAAATTCACATATATTTTCTAATTCCTTCTATATAGAACTCAAGGTTCCCAATCTCCATTCCTTTATTTCCCGCAAGCACGTTTCTCGAACTACTAAATGATGTACTTTTTGCAAACATTTTATATACAAAAATTGTTGTAAAAAGATCATATTAATCTATATTAATCTATTTTTTATTTTTTAAGCTAATACTTAATTAATCATGCGTTAATCCGTCTCTCTGTTTTGCACATTTGT